GGGTGGGGGCCGGCGGTGTCCCTCCCCCGCGGGTAAGCCCACCCGTAGCCCCTCGCTGCTGGAGGCAGCCCGGCTTCCCACCCCCGTACCCCATGCAGGCGGCAACGCCACGAGCAGTGACCGCGGGGGAGATGGCGCACGGGCGATGGGACGGGCGCTCTCTGGAGGAAGGATGCCCCGTTTGGCACTGCGAAGGACTCGGCTGTGGGCAGCGGCAGCGCTCTGCAGGGCTCAAGTGCCACGGGAGGAGGCTGGTGGCGTGCGGACAGTTTGGCAATCCCCAAACCTTCCAGCAACGGAAAATCGACGGGGAGTACCCCCGGGGAAGGTGGCAGTTCTTTCTGTTTGGCTTGGTCTTGTTTCAGTTCCGCTTTCTGCTGGAGAGCGATCCAAATTCCTCCGCAGGGCTCGGGAGAAGGTGCTTACAAATAAAGGTGTTATGGTTGAGGTGCTCCTGAGCTTCACTGCTGTCAGATAAGTAACAAACTTAGAGAAATTTTTCACTCTGAGGGTGGTGAGCCCCTGGGGCAGGTCGCCCCGAGAAGCTGTGGCTGCCCCATCCCTGGAGGTGTTCAAGGCCAGGTTGGACGGGGCTCGGAGCAACCTGGGCTGGGGGGAGGTGGCCCTGCCCAGGGCAGGGGGGTTGGAACTGGATAATCTTGAAGGTCCCTTCCAACCTAAACCATTCTATGATTCTAAACAGGCGTCTCCTGCCTCCTTCTTCCCTCAGGGATGGCTCTTGGCCAAGGCCATGTCAACAGTGATGAAGGAGCCACGGCTGGGGATGATTCTGCCAAGCCCTAGCTCCTCCACCACCACATAAAAATCAGCCCGAATGCTTGTTCACACCACCTCTACGTCTGGGGCTGGGAGAGCTCCAGCACCATCACCCGTGCAAAGATGAACCCTCAGGGGGTGTTGGTGGGGCCACACTCACCCCCATGGTGTCACCAGCAAGCACAAACGTCACATAACGAGCGTTTGGAGACCAGCTCAGGGCAAGAGCTGGGGTGCCATCGACAGCTGCCGAGGCTGGGGATGGAGACGGTGCTGAGATGGGCTCAAGTACCATGAGCAGAGGGGTGTGAGAGCCCACGAGGGCTGCGGTGGGGTGACAGGGGGACACGAGGAGCTGCCGCACGGGGAGGGGGCAGCACAGACTGACTGGGGCGCTGAGTTGGCAGTGGCTCCTTCCAGTGTGTCTACTGGAAGTGTCCCACCTGCTGCCCATCAGCGTGCTCTTCGGTGACTGCTGGGACTCCCGTGCCAGCAGAGATGGAGGTGAGGAGGGGGCGAGGAGTTGGAGTCATTGACGCGTTGGTTACGGCCAGCAGCACAATGCAGACATTGCTGGGGGAGGACAGGGACAAGGTCCCGGGCTCTCGGTACTGGCACGTGAACCAGGACTCACCAACAGGGCAGAGCGGAAGAGCCCGCTGGAAGGCGAGGGGGGCAGAGGGAAAAATGGACGGAGCGCAGAAGCCTCTGTAGGAAAGCGAAAAGGACAATAATGGGTGTGATCTGCAGGAAATAGGATCTGACCTGCTCGGGAGGAATGCAAAGCTAAACACACATAGTCGAGAGGAATAGCACCTGAAGGAGGATGTTTGGGCTGTTGAGGAATGGCTACAAGACGACGGGAAGATGAGCCAGCAGCTGCTGAGCGCTGCAGAAGAGAAGGGTGTGCGCTCATGCACCCACCCAGCTCCCGGCGCACCCCCGGGGCCGTAGGACCTGTGTGGGTACAGAAGACAAACGACTGGTGTGGTGTCAGGGCGGCACCGTGCACCCGCGTAGGATGGGAGGGATGAGTCGCTGCCGGGCAGCACAGCCGGTGTTTGCCCGGGCAAAGCACAAGTCACGAGGCCGAGAGGCTGCGAGCACCTTCGTCTTCCTCCTGCGGTACCAAGTGAGCACCGTGAGCGTTTGTGGCATGACCGTGGTGGTTGGGAGAGAAAATAATTAGGCTGAGGGTCGCTAGAAGAAATAGGAACAAACCCACTGCAAGAGCTACAGTGGGGCAAAGGCTCTGCAGGGAGAAACGGGAGCAAAGAAGGGGGGGAGAAGATGCGCAGCGATGGGCAGGACAAGTTGGGATCCCACTCCAGCAGGTTCCCAGAGGAAAGGAATGGCTGGAAAAGGGGAAGGAGGTTGGGGGAGCAGAAGAGAGGCAAAGCACAGGACTGTGAAAACACGGGTGGCTCTCCCCATCTCCTCGGCAGCACGATGGATGAGCGTGGGGCAGGCGCAGAGCTGATGCTGCGGGTTGGGCACCATCAGGGCACGCGGCGGCACCGGCACCCCCATCCCAACCCAGCCAAAGGGAAGGAGACAACCCAGCACCTCCGGAGGGTGTTAAAAGGAAGAGCAGCTGGCCAGGATGACAAAAAGCCAAAAATAAGCAGGTAGAAAGAGGTGAAGCGCTGGATCCAGGAGTGCCAGTGTCTCTGGAGAACCAAAACCCACCAAGGACAAACCCATCCTTGAAGGAATCATAGAATCACAGAATGCTTTAGGTTGGAAGGGACCTTCAAGATCACCTCGTTCCAACCCCCCTGCCCCGGGCAGGGCCACCTCCCCCCAGGTTGCTCCGAGCCCCGTCCAACCTGGCCTTGAACACCTCCAGGGATGGGGCAGCCACAGCTTCTCGGGGCGACCTGCCCCAGGGGATCACCGCCCTTAGAGTGAAAAATTTCTTCCTAACCTAAATCTCCCTTCTTCCAGTTTGAAGCCATTCCCCCTCGTCCTATCACCACCTGCCCTTGTAAAAAGGAGCGGTGACATAGCTGGGGAGGTAGGGAGAAACCAGTGTGCAACAGCGTGCACCAGCACACAGGAGCCAAAAGGACTTAAGGTCCCTTCCAACCTTGGCGATTCTATGATTCTATGACCCTCCACCCACGCAGCATCTGCGCTGCGGCTGCCTCCGACGTGCCGGGGTAGGGGTGCAGAGGGACAGGCAGCAGCAGGCGGGGGGCGAGTCGGCCTTTGCAGGGCTGGGCTTAGGGAACCCTACGGAGAAGTCTCCCAAAGGAGAGAGGAGCCTCCACGCTGAGCAAGAGCCCCGGACAGACGTCTAATGGAGACCGATGGCCACGAGTGACCAAACTCAACAGCACCTCTGCACAGAAACCCCAGTCCTAAACAAATAAATCTACTAAAACCCAAAACCAGGACGCAGCATGGCTTGTTTGTTGTTTTTTTTTTTTTTTAAACTAATATTTTCTACTATACATTAGTGCTTCGGTCCACCACCGTCACTGCAGAGCTATTGCACGGACGCACACACGGACTCTATGTACAGACTGTACACTGTAGGGGCAGGGCTGCCGCGAAGGAGCGCGGTACCGAATTCCTTACGACGGGCACGGACGGCCGCGGCTCCTCGCTCGGCCGCTTCCAGGCTGGAGGCGGTGGGAAACCGAGCAGCCTCCCGCTACCCCTGCACTGTCCCAGCCCGGCTCCGCGGGGGAAAATGCCAGAAGGGTTCAGCCACCTCCGAGTCTCCGTGACACCTCCCCAGCGCCGAGGCAGCGCCGCAAGGGGCAGGGACCGGTGGTGAAGCGGCACATCTTCCACCCCGCCGGCACCGGGGCCGCGACAGGTTTGTGCAGGGCTCGGCTGAGGTGATGAACTCTCCCGCCGTGGGCAAAGGGACACTCCAGGGCGGCTTACAGAGCAGGAGAGCATCAGGCTGCCAGACCCACCTCGAACCCGTTCTTTAGGCAAACATTCAGGCCCTGGCCAGGCGGGCAGACGGCGAAACGCAGTTACAGGAGCAGCAATCAACCCCGGGGTTACAGTAAATCCATTTCCGAGGCAGCTGGCAGAAAGCTTCTCTCTCAGGCAGAGGGCATCTGCCTCCAAAACTGGTAGCGGAGCCTCAAGTCTGTCCTACACTCAGCCCAGAGGAGAGCTGGAGAGGTTTCTCCCCACTGACCTCAGCGCCGGGCGAGCGGGCACCTCTCGCAGCGGGACCCACGCACCGGCCGCTCTGTGAGCTCCCGCCCGGCAAGGCTGACACGGGCCGTGAAAATCAGATTCTCCAACAGGTCTCATCGGCAAGTGGGCTGACCACGAGATACCTTGTTGCCCAAGGCAGGGCCCCAGCTCTCTTGTACGTTGTTAGAGCACACAAACTTGATTTTTCAAGCAGAATAAATTACATTTGGAGGCCAGCTCCTCTCTGTGGAGCTCCGGTAGCTATTGTCATTCACACAGCACCCTGCCACGATCCCTGGAGAGCTCTGGTCCTCGCAGATGCACCAGCCCCTTCCTCTTCTTCTCTGTCTCTGCCTTGGAGAAAAAACAACCGCATTCCACGACCAGCAGCATCCTCCCACTCCCGCCGCAGCTGAAGCTCTTGCCAGCATGAGTCAGGCTGCTGAACGGGCAGTGACAATTTTTCCACATCATTTGTATGTGGGGGACTAGCGTCTCTCTCGTTATCATCCTGAAAACAACTCCCCCCTGCGGGGCTGGTCCTGCTTCTTCCAGGCAGGATGACGGCATTGAAATGCCGCGAGCCCAAGCACTAGACAGAGATGGAGGTGTATATATGGGCAACGCGTGTTTTGCACAGCCTATCGCATGCTGCTGGAAGCCTGACTGTCACTTTCTGACCTACTAACAGCCACACGGGGAACAGTTTCTCCTTTCCAGCCCCCTAATCCAGCTCCCCAAAGCAGGACTAGATGGGGAACGGTGCACACAGTTCCCCGTTTCTGCTACAGTTCGGACCCACACGCCCACGTGCTCAAACTCATGCACAGTTGTGAGCGTGATCCGGATCAGGTCACGCCGGCTGGACCAGGGAAGAACTTTCCTTTCCAAAGGCACCGGCAGCTGCCCGCAGCTCGGAGCCGGGTGGGAGGGCCCTTCCTTCTCCAACAGAGTCCCTTCCCCGCGCTCAGTGGTGGTGCAGCACGGTCTGGAGATCCTCCGGCAAGGAGCCAATGATGGTGTCGATATACAGAGCCACGCGCTGCAGCGTTTCCTCCTTCACAGGGAGGTGCTGGCACCTGGCGCGTACCTACGGCGAGGGAGAGGAGAGAAACAGAGGAATGTCATAACAGCTCCCAAGTTCCTCTTTCTGCTTTGAGCAAACGTCACGTTGTCTCTTTAGCTCGGGGTACGAGACAACAGACAGGAACCTGTCACCTGAGCCTCGGGGAGATGAAAAGAGTCAGAACTTTGAATCCTTTTCTACACAAACACTCAAGTGTCACGACTGTCCCATTCGCCAGTCCTCCAAACCAGGGAGCGAGCACAAAGTTTTCCAAGCAACACGTGCGAGCCGTGTCCCTGGTCTCTCCCTGCCGCAGACATACAGACAGAAAGAAATGAGCGCAGGAAGAAGGCAGGAAAACTTACCAGCTTCTCACGAAGTTTTAGCACCAGGTCTACAATCTCCACCTCACTCTTGTCCTTCATCCAGGCCACGATGTTCTAAAGAGAGGGAACAGCTTTCCTCAGGGAGGTTTCTCCTTTACAGAAGCTTTTCTCAAAGAGCTAACCCTGAGCAAAGCCTGACATAAAAGGGAGAAGGAGGTTTCTCATCCTCTTTCACAACTCTGCTCGCAGCACTTAAGCCTAAATGAGCAAGACAGAGCTCTCGCCACTTTCTGACCATGGCAGCGTTCAGTTCTTCACTGCAAGAGAAGATCAAGGCAAGCGGCGTAACATGCAGGCAGCGCAGGGCTCCCCTCCTCCGGCCAGCACCCCGAATCTGCTGCTGTGCTCAGAATTTCACAGAATTCACAGAATTCACAGAATTGTTAGGGTGGGAAGGGACCTCTGGAGATCATCTAGTCCAACCCTCCTGCCAGAGCAGGGTCACCTACAGCACGTTACACAGGACAGCGTCCAGGCGGGTTTTGAATGTCTCCAGAGTGGGAGACTCCACCACCTCTCTGGGCAGCCTGTTCCAGTGCTCCACTACCCTCAAAGTAAAATTTAAATTTAAATCTATTTGCCGGAGTCAGACCTGTTCAAAAAGGACAGGGCTTTGGCATTCCCCACACCGTGCTCGAGGACCTGCACTGCTGAACAAGCAGCAAGCGCTGCAGCTGAAGATGCGCCGGGGTAGGACAGCAGAGCTCCTGGGACTGCCCCAGCGCCTGCTCAGCTTCAGGAACTGTACCAGCAGTCACCACTAAAGATCCTACCTATTTTCATTAGGCATTAAGGAAGCCAGCGACAGATGACGCTTCCAGTCTGGCACTCTGTTGGCTTGGGGAGGGCCTGACGAATGAAAAAGAGTTGGTGGAAGCGGGCAGAGCGGGACCTGCGCTGGCTCACAAAGCGGGGGAGCCGAGCTGCTCCTGCTCTTGTCCCCAACATGTGCTGCTGTTCCTGTGCACTGACAGACACGAGGCAGAGCTGCGATTCCCCAGGGCACAAAGCGCTGTCCCCCAGAGAATCGCAGAACGGTTTGGGTTGGAAGGGACCTTAAAAACCATCTCGTTCCACCCCCTGCCCTGGGCAGGGCCACCTCCCCCCAGCCCAGGTTGCTCCGAGCCCCGTCCAACCTGGCCTTGACCACCTCCAGGGATGGGGCAGCCACAGCTTCTCGGGGCAACCTGCACCGGGGGCTCACCACCCACTCAGGAGAGAATTTCTTCACAGTATCTCGCCTCAATCTCCCCTCTTCCACTTCCCATCCCTCAGTGCAGAGTCGAGAGGCCACAAGCAGGTACCACAAGGCAGCAGTGCCCTCACCGCCCAGGTTTCGGGCCTGAGAAGGTACCGTCTGGCGGTGGTTTTAATACCTGCAGCTGGAACATACCGCTTCGCAGATCGCCTCCAAATGAAGGGCCTCCAGCTTCTGGGTCATTTCCTTGTGCCTCTGACGGTACCAGCCATCAAAGTTGGGAGACTTGAAGAAACGCCTGCAGAGAGAGAGGTGACGCTGAGAAGGGGACAGGGGGTGGATCCAGAGAAGCGCGTCGGCTCTGTTGCACACAGATTCCCCTTCCTACTGCAGCAGACGCAGACCTGAGAGGGAAAGACATCCCGATTCACAGCGTCATCAGGGATGGCACCTGATTAGGAGCTAATACGCTCTTTTCGTATCTCGTCTGCTCCAGAGGCTTCTCTTCTGTCGGGCATTAGCGTGACAGAGCTGAGCAGCTTTAGCGGATTGTCACCACGAGCGGGGCAATCCCGCCAGCCTCGCGCCCTCCAGCGCAGCTCACACCTCAGCCAGCGCAAGGACCGGTGCTCTTTGCCCTCTGTAGCCTTATTTTGGCCCACTTTTCCTTCGGAGTTATGATAGCTGGGAGGGTTCAACATGGGAAGAAGTTCACAATTCACATTCCTCTGCCGTATCTTGCTTAATTCCTCTCCTTTCCTAATATTTACAGCTTCCAACCATTTGCTAGCACGGACGTAAGTCCCATATAATTGGTGATTTACATGTCTCCTACATAAACAAGGTATCATCTAGCCTACGTCAAAGGATGTGCACTTTACACCTCTCCAGTGCAGTACAGTAATAAGTCTCTGCTTTTACTGAGCTACGCAGGAAAATGAACAGGGGGCAGCACAATACCTGTTTTTATCTCACAGCATTATAGAATTTTAGATCAAACCCAAAATGGGAGTGAAAAGCCACTGAAAGACAAGTGGTGTGGCAGCAGGGAAAGGAAAAGGTGAGAAAGTTTAAGATGCTGTATAGAGCTGAGCAACAGCCCCTTTAGCAGCACGTCCTTTGCAGCCCCTCGATTAACAGTAGGGATGGCTCAAACGCTGTATTTCAGCATTTTCCTCTCCTGCGAGCGGCCCACTTCGTATCTCTTCAAGCGACTTCCCCCGGCTCCCTGCAGAGAGCACCTCACCAGCGCAACTCCGCTGATGTTTATGCAGTTTCTTTTTGCAGCCTTGAGGACTCTTGCTCACGCACTCTCCCCAGCTCGGTGGAGTCCTAAACCCAGCCAAGCTCTCGAGATGCCACTGTGATAGACAGACTTATTTTTTAATTGTTTGACTTAGGCACACAAGAAACAGCATACACACAAAATCTCACACAGTTAAGAGCCCTGGAATGCGTAAACTCCTGCACATGCACCAGTTGTCTGCAAATCTCAACCAATCTATGGAAACAGCCTGTTGTTTGCTACTGTTTTCCAAAATATTCGACATCCAAAATTAAATCTGTCTACCACACCCACACCATAAGGAGTGGAACTGCTGGTTTGCTGTTCAATATATTAAAGCCCAAAATGGTATAAACTTTATCACAGCAACAGAACATACTAATCCATGATTACTGTCTCTGCTCACTTTCTGGAATTTTTCCCCTTTTCCATACCCGTACATCTCCCATTTTCCTTCCCATTGGGTATCCAATTTCTGGATTTTTCCTACTCTTATTGTGATGTGTCTTCTCCATCCCATTTATAACTCGTTATCCTTTACAAAACCAATGGACAAACTCTCCTGCACGCTCTCTTAAATTCTTCCCCGAAGCAACCACATCCCTTATGTTCTAACAGCACTGCCATCACGCAGTAAAGATGAAATGGCCATCGTCCCGAATGCTGCACACACACACAGCCGCTCCTGCGTGAAGACCTGCAAGTCTTTACAGCCCATCTGCCCAGGACCGGACACTTCAAAAAGAAAGATTCCCTGGAGGACAATTAATGCCACAGCTGATGTCAGAGGCGAGTCTCCTTCTCCCCCAGCAGTGAGGTGGAGAGTTGACAGCTTCTAAACCCGACTGTATCTCCTCATTTAAGAGATTACGTAAAACACAGGACTAGTTCTGTCCTGCATTTGCTCTCCCTGACCATCACAGAATTCACAGAATTCACAGAATTGTTAGGGTTGGAAGGGACCTCTGGAGTTCATCTAGTCCAACCCCCCCACCAGAGCAGGGGCACCTACACCAGGTTGCACAGGACAGCGTCCAGGCGGGTTTTGAATGTCTCCAGAGTGGGAGACTCCCCCACCTCTCTGGGCAGCCTGTTCCAGTGCTCCACTACCCTCAAAGTAAAGAAGTTCCTTCTCATGTTAAGATGGAACTTCCTATGTTCAAGTTTATGCCCATTACCCCTCGTCCTATCACTGGGCGCCACTGAAAAAAGACTGCTCCCATCCCCCTGGCATCCTCCCATTAAGTATTTGTAAGTATTAATAAGATCCCCCCTCGATCTTCTTTTCTCTAGACTAAAGAGACCCAAGTCCCTCAGCCTTTCCTCATAAGAAAGGTGCTCCAGTCCCCTAATCATCTTTGTTGCCCTTTGCTGGACCCTCTCCAGCAGTTCCCTGTCCTTCTTGAACTGGGGAGCCCAGAACTGGACACAGTACTCCAGATGCGGTCTCACCAGGGCAGAGCAGAGGGGGAGGATGACCTCCCTCCACCTGCTGGCCACACTCTTCTTGATGCCCCCCAGGATGCCATTGGCCTTCTTGGCCGCCAGGGCACATTGCTGGCTCAATGTCACCAGTCAATCCGTTCTTCACAGCCATGAGTTTTTCAGGTTACCGGTCTCTGTCCTGAAACTCCCTTTTTGCTCCCAATTCTGATTCAGGACTTGACGTTCATGATAACCGGCACCAGCCGTTAGGGGATAAGGCAAGGAATTACCAAACTCCTACCTGTACAGGCCTAACCAGTCACCCTTCAGTACACAGGTGAGTTGGGGACCAGCATGCTCAAGGGTCTTCATGAAATCTTCCTGACGGAAAGGACGAATCTGCGGAGGATTCTGCACAACAGAAAGGCCATATTATGCGGCACCCAAAAGAAACGGGGGGGACGACACGAAATGAGGTCCATGTTTACAATGGAAGGGGCTGCACAAGGCAGACTCAATGAGAACAAAAATCGCATGAACACCTTAACCAGCCTTGCTAGAAAAATTCAAATCAGATTCACAATAGCTGAGCTTACTGCAAAACAGGAAGCATCTGTCCCAGTGTTTGTTTCAGCTTTTTTTCTTTTTAAAGGAGTAATAACCCTCTTCCTTCAACGAGGGAAGTTCACACAGAGTATCAGAGTACGTGATCAGCATATGGCATAACTATTCCCAGTCCCTGCAGTCAAAGGACAGCAGAAGCAATTGCAAAATTGAACATACCTTCCATGGAGTAATGGCCCTCTGCAGCGGCATCAGACTTGCAATATAATGCTCCTAAGAAGAAACACCCCCCCCAAAAAAAAAGAAAAGAAAAAAGGTGTTACAACAATTGAGGAGCCTCTTGTGTGGTCACCGAGTGCGACGGTCTTCTCCAGTGCATCACGGGCACAATCAACACTCTCCTACTCTGTTTTTTTTTCCTTCAAAGTTGCATTTTACGTGAGCCTAAGTGTTCCACCTTGTTTCCCATCAGGGGCTACGTCACAAAACTACGCGGCAAGAATCCTAAGCATGCCATGTGAGAAAAGGTCAGGTGGGAAGAAGTTGGCAGGAGGCACCAGGATCTGAGAAGACACTCTGTCCTCCTGTGTGCTACCTCCTAAGACGATGTAGAAAAGAAAGTGGAGGAGCCAAACTCGGCCAACTGGGCGGCCACCAAAAAAATCACCAGCAACCTTCTAGTGGGACTAGAGAGGGAAGGCCTTGAAAGCAAGCGTTGGCTAAGATCTGCCTTGGGGTGGTGAGCACCACGCGGACAGGCCTCAGGTTCTACCAAAATAAGCTCCACAGAAAAGCTTCCCAAAGCCAGAGGGGAGGATTTCACAGTGGCGATGGGTTCGACTCCAGCATTAGAGGGGAAGAGGAACGGTTTGGGCTCCTGTCCCTTCCCTATATATCTGCTTTGGCTACTCGTTGGGAAGAGTAAAGAGTTGGCGTTAGAATGAAATAACACAGAACACCTATTCACTGCAGGGACCAACCAGCGTTCTGTCTTTACACACGGTGTGCTGAATATCCAACCTGCAGACTTTTATGCTAATTACTGACATTTGCATTCAAGAGATATTTAGTTCCTTTCCATGGAGTAAAACATCTCTACGGAGTGCCACATCCTCAATCTGTTACGGATGCTCCGGTGCGGGTGAATAAAAGAGGGCAAGCACAAACTTGTCACTCAAGCATCTCCTGTTCACCTCCCCTCACCTTCCCACCACGCTGACAAGTCTCTGCTCAACTCACCAGAGGAATAATGAAACTCTGGGTGAGCTCCAGGAGGTGACGCCTCAAAAGGGCACTTTGGACTTCAGACGGGCGTTTCCGCTGAATCCCCTGCAAGCACAAGCAGCGCCTTCACAAAGGTGCTATTCTCTGTTATGCAGATAGACGCGGAATTTGCAAACACCGCAGCTATAAGAAACCAGTCCAGAGTAGTCTGGAAAACCGTACCGCCCAAAATACATATTCCACTCTCTAGCTGAACATACCACTCACATTTCGCTATGTAGAATCTGTTTTTTCAGACTTTTTTTTTTTTATTAGGATTGTTCTCATTTAGGTTATCGTTAGCGCCAGCATTTAATCTGTGATATTAAGTGAAAAATTTTAAAACTGGCGTGATAAACATGTCTAGGTATACTTGACTAAATTATTACACGCTGTAGAAAGTCTGTTCCTTTTGCAGAGTTTTGTCTGTTTAAACCAAGCTGTTAGCACGGTTTTCCCATAATGACATAGAGGATGTAGGACAGAGTGGAAACTCCTCACCTTTAGTAGTCTTTTGATCAGGGTTTTGTCTTTGTGCAGAAATGTTTTATAAGAAGTATAGATTCCTAGATTGAAAAAACAAAAAAAAACAACCAAACAAAAACACAACCAGAAAAAACCAGAAGTTAAAACCAAAGCTTTGCCCATTATATATTACTATATAGTGCAGGGATAAGAGAACTGAAATTCCTAGCACAAACCCCGGCAGCTCTGCGTGTGTATCATTACAAAAATTACGAAAAAGAAATTACAAAAATTATGAAATTGCTAATGCAGCCAGTACTCACAGCAGGGTTAACGCACACCACCAGGGATCTACCCGGCTGGGGAGCAGCTC